CGCTGCGTAAAACATATGCTGGATAAGTTGGCGGTTCATTCCGCTCTGGCGACCCCAGATTAATAAAGGGACTAAGCCGACAAGAAAATGAATGAATGAATGTCATATGCCCTGCCACACTGCCAGGGCCCAAACATGCCCTATCTGCAGCTGGTGAACAAAACAACTGTCATTGATGTGTGTCGGCTGCCTGCTTAAATGACAGTATCTTTATCAGATGTTTACAGAACAATTGGGAACCCAATGTGACTGTAGCTTTCTCTATGCAGATATGTGTTGTATTATGTGACTGAAAATCAAAGGCCTCTTCAAGTCATAGAGCAAGTCGTTCAAATGTAGATCTGAGACTACTGTAGGGAAAAAAGCTAAAACTGTTAAGCACTTTTAAACATCCGATCACTTAACAAAAAGTCACTTCTAGTCATTGATTTTATCAACAGTCTTTAAGCTTTTATTATAGAGCTATACACTGCTAGGCACACTTTCTTTTTAAGTCTTATAAACAGCAACTTAAATAATGCCCACACTCTCTTTGCAACAGCAGAGAGACTCACTAATCCCCCAGTAGGATTCCCAGTGAGCTACTCTCTGGAAGAAAATGTAATAAGTTTGCTCATTTCTTTACTGATAAGATCAATGATATCAGAAAGCCAATCAGCTCATCCAATCAGCCAATTTGTGTCTCATCAGACAAGCTCAACTACAAATTGATGTAACGTGTGGCGATGCAAGGTTTAACAATCACACTACCGCCCGTATTCTGAGTCCTTATATGCAAATCCCTCAATTATAAAAAATATAAAAATGGATCAATAAAGGGACCCAGGGAGCAGGAAAGAAAGAGGTGTTCTGTGGTTGGCTGTGTGGGTTGGAGGAAGAAGATGAGCTGAGCGGAAGTGAAGGTGGAGTGAGTGTTTTTCTTAAGTTGCCATAATAGCGGAGTGTCCTAATAAAGAGAGTTGTTTACCAGAAAATCCTGGACTACTTGGATGTTCTCTCCGTGAGTAAAATGTCTTTCAAATCTGCTACGTTCAACATCTTCACGTCAAATCTTCACGTGAACTTCACAGACACTTGCACAACACGCTAAATTCCTTTTATGTGCAATGGTGCATATCAACACACCGGTGGGAAAAAGTTTTTTTTTTAAGAGCGTCATATGGCCAAGTGGTTGTGGCGCAGAGCTCTGACCCAAGAGACCCATGTCTGGATCCTGCCTCGTCAAAGATTAATTTTTTTTGTCACAAATTAATGACATATTAAATTGTTCACTCCCACCGTTACATAAGTGGCGCCCGAACAGGGACATAAATAATTGCAACTTTCATTGATTGATTGACTTGAATAACTGAAATTTTTTTATTGACTGTGATTGTTTGTGAATGTTTAATATTTAAAAATAGCTTTTTTTTCTTTTTCTCTTTTTGCTGAATGTGAGAACTATTGACAAAAATCATCAAACAACTGAATTTAGTTAGGGAATAAAAACTACTACTAATGTATGTGCATTTTGGTAAATTAGATGATTTATTGACAATAACTTGCTATGGTTACAACTGAATTAATTTCAAAATAACTGTATAAAATGATAAAATATGAAATGATTAAATATATGATAAAAATTGTACCCAGCTTAAATGTAAAATTAAAGTTGCCAGAGGTAGAAGGACAGACAGGGGAGGGAGAGAGAGACAAAGAGAGCAGGCCCAGAAGTTAGCCTGCAATCAGGCTAACTTCTGGGCCTGCTCTCTTTGTCTCTGAGCAGGAGAGGGCAGAGACAGAAAAGAGGCCAGGAAAAGAGACAGACCAGAGTTTTAAACCTGACCTTACAACTTGACCATGTGACTAAAGCCCAAATGCTGAGACATTCAAACTGACCAATAAGCATGTTACCACACCATAAAACCCCTAAAGACCACACACCAGGCCCTGATCTTATCAGTATCTGCCTTTCGAGTCAGTATGGACCTTCTTGAGTCAAAAAGACATGTTCTGTCATATAAACAAATGCATATGATAATTTAGCCTCTTACATCATAAAAGCATGGACTAGCTTTTCTGCATCTGAGATGGACAGCATACTTCGTAATTTAGCGATATTTCTCAGGTGAGAGAAGGCAGTTTTTGTGACATGGGATATGTGATTTTCAAAAGTTAGATTGCTGTCTAATATGACACCCAGATATTTTATAGTAGAGCTAACGCTAACTCTGTATCCCTCTAATTGTGGATTGAGTTGCGAGATCTGCTGTGTACAGGATTAAGGCCCAATAAATAATAATTCTGTTTTTTCTGAGTTTAAGAGAAGGAAATTGTTGGTCATCCAGTCTTTAACATCTCTAATACACTCAGTTAGTTTTGACAGTTCAAACGTCTCATCAGGTTTAGTTGAAATATATAATTGTGTATCATCTGCATAGCAGTGAAAGCTGATCCCATGTCTTCTAATAATGTTTTCCAGAGGTAGCTAATTGTAAATTGTAAACAGCAAAGGGCCTAAAACTAATCCTTGAGGTACCCCATACTTTACTGGGCTGACTTGTGAAGGCTGTCCATTAAGATTCACAAACTGCTAACGTTCAGCTAAGTATGACTTAAACCGTTGTAGAGCCTGTCCCTTGACACCTCTAGACTTTAAGCGGTTTATGAGGATATTGTGGTCAATGGTGTCAAATGCCGCACTAAGATCGAGTAAAACTAATAGGGAGACGCACCCTCAGTCATCAGCTAAGAGTAGATTATTTTCACTAAGGCGGTTTCTGTACTGTGATGAGCCCTGAAACCTGACTGAAACACTTCAAAAATATTGTTCGTCTGCAGAAAAGAGCATAATTGAGTGGAAACAACTTTTTCTAGTATTTTAGACATAAATGGAAGATTAGAAATAGGCCTATAGTTAGCTAAGTTGTTGGGGTCCAGTTGCGGTTTCTTAATAATAGGCTTAATAACAGCTAGCTTGTAAGAGTTTGGAACATGGCCTATAGATAAAGAAGAGTTGATAATGTTAAGAAGAGGTTCTCCTATAGCAGGTAACAGCTCTTTCAGTAATTTTGTTGGAAAATTTTGTATGTTGTTCAGTCCAGCATGCACGTGGCTGGTTTAGAGCTATTTTTAATTTTATCTAGCTCTTCTTGTTCTATGATGTTGAAGCACTGTAGGTTATTATTATTATTATGCTCAGTGAAATATTTACAGGATTTGGAGTATAAGCCGGTGCAGAAAGTTTAGCATCTCCTATTTTCTGTCTAAAGCCTTCTGTTTTATCACTGAAAAAATTAATGAAGTCATCACTACTCATTTGTGGTGGAACATTTTGTTACAATGATGGCTGATTAATTGTTTAATTTAGCGATGGTGTTAAATAAAAATTTAGGATTGTTATGATTATTTTTCCATCAGTTTGCGCAGGTGCTCGGTCCTGGCAGATTTTAGAGCCCTCCTATAGCTGGATATATAGTGTCTTTGTACGCAATTCTAAAGACCTCTAAATGAGTTTTTTTCCCCATTTATGTTCCAGGGCGCGGGTTGCTGTTTTGAGAGTGCGAGTATGACTATTATACCATGGTGTAGTTTTAGTCTCTCTAGCCTTTTTTAATTTGATGGGTGTCACAGTATTTAGTGTGCTAGTAAAATGGCAGCCATACAGCTGGTTATTACATCAAGGTCATTTGAGTTTGCGGGAGCATTTATAGATAGAGAAAGATCAGGTAAGTTATTTGTGAATTAGGAGGAAACCCACGCGAACATGGGGAGAACATGCAAACTCCTCACAGAAATTCAGACCGGCTCGCTGAGGGGCCAAACCAGCGGGCTTCTTGCTGTGAGGCAACAGTGCTACCCACTGGGCCGCCGTGCCACCCTATCAGAGAAGGGGAGGAATAGGGGTGGAAGGAGGGATTCTTCAAGGCGAAGATGACTGGAGTAGAAAGTTCTGGTTATTTACATATTTATGTATGGAGCCGATGCAGTACCAGCTGTGTTCAATCATAAGCATGTGATCCTCTCGAAATTAGTTTATAAATAAACCACACATTTTAGAATGAAAACCCTTCCTCGTTACACCAAAAACAGCTTTTACTGAAACCAAGGTGACCAAAAAATCTAGATTTTCTCAGTATGTGTGAGGAAAGACCACCTATAAAAACAAGATCAAACAGTCTTCAGCTTCACTGGTTCTGAAAATCGTTTTTTCTACCAGCCAGCTTTGAGAAAAATCACAACATTACAAACTTTATTTTAAAGCAGAGTTCTGTATACACTGTAAAACACTCATCTTTATCAAATAAAATAAGTGTAGTGAACTCAAATTGACTTAAAGTTAAGTCTACTCATTTGAAAAGAGTTTTGAACTCAGTGTTGAAGGTAAAGAGTTAAATAAATACCTCATTACTTCAACTTAAATGGTTTGTTGCAATCTGTTTCCTCAAACGGTTTGAGTTGCCTTTTAATCATTGGGTTTTACAGACTTGGTTTAAGTTTTCTTCATTTATTGGGATTTACTGTGCTCAAATTGCATCATTTACTCGAATGGATTAAGTTCACAGTACTCATTTCAATTAGTTTTTGAACTTAAATGATTTGTTGCAATTGGTTTCCTCAAATGGTTTGATTCACCTTAACTTTTGGAGTTTTACAGTGTATGAAGTTGAAAAGATGAAGCACTGTTAAGTCCGTCTTTGAGAAAGTACCACAATCATTAACAGATTTTACATAATAATGAGCATTTGACCAGGAAATATATATATATATATATATTCAGATAAAACTTTTCATTAGAAAAAAATTCATTAGAAAAGCAGCAGAGTAATACAATATTTTCAGTCAGCAGTCAGTTTGTGATTAAGTTTACAATAGCTTCGTTTCCATCCACCTATATTTTTATGCACATTTTGGAGATGCGCATAACAAAGTTAGTTGTTGGAAATACCATAAATTTTGAAAATGTGCATTAAAAAATTGCGTGCATATCTGAGTAGGATAAACTTTTTTATTTGGTGAGACAAGATGCACATAAACTGAGATGGAAACACTTTTACTGTTTCTGGTTGATTGGATTTTCATAGATTATCTGTGTCTCTAAAAAAGATCAAGCATGAAAAAAAATCAGCGATTCTCTTTGATTACATGTGGACTTTGTCTCCTGATGTTCAGATCAGAAAACACCACTGATGTTCAGATCATCATTTTTTCCTAATGACTTCATTGATCACATTAATCAGCTCCTGTTTGTTGTTTGAGATGTTTTTTCCAGCCACGTTCATTAGATCTATGATCTTCTCAGCGCTGTAAGCTCCTTGAAAAGTAGTATAGTTCTTCCTATATTGCCCAAGTTTATCTGATGAAACAGTAACACAGTTAAATCAGATCACAGCATTATGATTCAGATCTTTATTTAGCTAGACCAGGGTTTTTCAAAGTCTAAGACAGTGGGCCTCCCTTTTGACACAACTTATCCATTGGCGCCCCCCTCCTCCCAAACACGCACGCACGCACGCACGCACGCACATATATATATATACAGTATATATATAAAGACACAGACAGATGTCAGACTCTTAACTCACTTTTATCATCATTTGCATGAAAGTGCAATTATTTACAGAGTAATAACAAGTATTTTAATATAACGTTTTTAAAACTAGGATGATGGTTCAATATGAATAGAACAGATCCAAGAACTGTCCATCCCAGTCAAAACAGTCGAAGTTTAGCGGGTCTCATGCTGTCATTAGCCAAAATATCTTGACAAAACACACATAAAGGTCGTGGTTCCTCAGCTGGTCCTGTCCACGTAAATCCTAAACTCAAATACTGATCATCATATCGTCGTCTTTTAGGTTTAAGCCCTGAACTTGAAGGCTTTGAATCGGGGGGGTCTCAGAAACCGATCCATTGTATTAGCAGGCATATACCTGTATTGGCGGGCTTGCCAAACAGAAGCGAATTCACAGCTATGGCCTTCTGGGTAAAAAGGTTTTCTTATTTTAGACGTATTATTTTTTTTAGCTTTGTTTAATTGAAACGTTTAAATATAATAAAAAATACATATAATAATTCACGCCTCACACTTTGAAAACCTCTGAGCTAGACAATCTAACTTACCTCCACAGTTGATCACATTAAAGAGAGGAATATGGATCACGGTTGGGGCCTTTTTGTCTGTTGATGTGTTTTTGAACACATAGAAATCCTTCGGGTTCTTGATGTCCTCAGCAAGTAAGTTGATTGGAGGGAAAGGGATCTTTAGTTTCCTGCATGCCTCGGCAGCTTCTTTCACTGTCTGTAGTAGAAAATCAACACAGATTTAACATTGAGATTCTGAAACTTGTGAATAAAACTGTGGAGCATTATTTTTGCATATACAGTTGAAGTCCCCCTGAATTATTCGCCCCCTTTGAATTTCTTTTTCTATTATAAATATTTCCCAAATGATGTTTAACAGAGCAAGGAAATTTTCACAGTATGTCTGATTATTTTTTTCTTATTTGTTTTGGTTCGGCTAGAATAAAAGCAGATCTTAATTTTTTTTAAACATTTTAATGACAAAACTATTAGCCCCTTTAAATTATATATTTTTTTCGATAGTCTACCGAACAAACCATCATCATACAATAACTAGCCCTAACCTGCCTAGTTAACCTAGTTAAGCCTTTAAATGTCACTTTAAGCTGTGTAGAAGTGACTTAAAAATATCTAGTAAAGTATTATTTACTGTCATCATGGCAAAGATAAAATAAATCAGTTATTAGAAATGAGTTATTAAAATTATTATGTTTAGAAATGTGTTGAAGCGATCTTCTCTCCGTTAAACAGAAATTGGAGAAAAAAATAAACAGGGGGGGCTAATAATTCTGATTTCAACTATAATACCTGGAAAGGATCGCCTTCACTGAAATCCAGAGAAATGATGATGTCAATCTTTCTTTCTGTTCTCAGCACAGAGAAATAGGGTGAGTTCAGCAACAGTCCAGCATCTTCATAGTCTCTGGTTTTACTTTTCAGAAGAGCAGCGGGAACTGCAGGATCTGGGGGATCATGGTGTAAATGAGTCTGTTTTATTATTCACACTGAATTTACAGTTAACAGCAGGTCTTTTCTCACCTCTCATGTTGTAGAGAAAGTCATAATTCCTGCCCCAGGTCCACTTAGCCATGCATACAAAAATCCTTATCCACATCTTCAAATCTGAAATTGAAATTCAGTAAATGGTTCTTATATTGTTTTACAGGTAACTATATGTGTTCTTTGGTAAAGTAAAATAATTTGATCTTGTTTATGCTTTTAATTTTGTTACTGGCTGTGTAAAGAAACCTAGTCTATTAACTTTTTTGCTGTCTTTTAGTAAAACGCATCTTACTTTAAAGCATCAGTCTGGTTTTACAAGTCAAAAGTGAAGGACATTTCCAAGACCTCTGCCATGTGTCAAAGGTGTAAGATATCTACTGGGACACTTCTTCATATGCTCTGGAGCTGTCCAGTTTTGGAGACATTCTGGAAGTTTGTCATTGCAACATCCTCTGGAATATCAAATAATCAAATTGATCCAGATCCTAAAATTTCAACACAATCTCACGACAATTCGTAACTTTTTGATTTAGTGGCTAATTCGTATGAATTCGTATGATCTAATTCGCACAGTTTAGTGTGACTTGCTCATCCCCCAATGATGGTTGGGGTTAGGGGTGGGGTTAGGTGCCACGCCTCCTTTTTCAAATTGTACAATTTCGTACGACTGAACTCGTATGAATTCGTACGAATTAGCCACTAAACTGGCAAAACGTAAAATTCTTACGTTTTCTCGTGAGATCAGGCTTAAAATTTTGATACTAGGTGATATCAGTTCACTTCAGTTGACTTACCACAGCAGCTATTTTATTTTGCTCGCAAGCACTGCAGCTAAAATGCATACTTCAAAAATGTCAATCTGAGAACTCTGCTAGTGAAAAATCTGCTAGTGATTTTTTTGTTGTTGTTTTTACTTTCTCTTATTTTATGTTATTTGTGGCGAGGGGGCGTGGCCGAGAGCCGTGGGAACGGGGTGAGGCCACCGCGTAAGTGGATACAAGTGCGGTGCGCACCTGCCTCGGATCCCACGGAAGGAGCTCTGGACGATAAAGGGAGGACCGATGGCAGAGGAAGCCGAGAGAGGACCGGGCCCGGGCATATTGTTTTACTTTTGCTTTCAGTTTGACGGCAGTCTCTGCGAGGAGCTGCCGTCTGTTTGTTTTGGTTTAAATGGCAGTCTCCATGAGGAGCTGCCGTCATTATTATTAATAAATATTTTAAACCTGCGTCGGTTCTCCGCCTCCTTTTTCCCGGCGGCCAAAGGGCCGTAAACTTCATTACATTATTGTTTTAATTTAATGTTTTATCATATATGTAAATGTAATTTATTTGTGCATCATTCTGGACATTACTGTTTTTATTTATTATTACCATCAACCATTTCAACTTTCTTTACGTAACTTCAAAATGAGAAATGTTTTGACAGAATTTGTGACAATTATATCTTGTATGGATGGGGGGTGGCGGGGTGGGTTGTATTTGTATTTGTATTTTTTTTTTGTTATTATTATTATTTATCTTTGCTAATTGTTAAAAAAAGTCCTGATATTCTTTGTAATTTCACTTTCTACACAATGTCATGTATATTGTCAATAAACATACTTATTAAAAAAAAAAGTGAAGCACATTATACAAACCAGTAGATTGTAAAGATAATTTAACCTACCTACAGGCCAGCTTATGTTCAATTTCACTTGCAATTCCTCCAAGAGTCCGCACACTTCCAACGTGTATTCATCTTCACTGCTTTTATCAGGAGAAATTAATTGAGGATCGTGTCCAGCGAGATCTGTAGAAAATAAGAATATGAGGTCTTCCATCTGACAACATAGTCTATTTGAAATGTGTGTATGTTGTAATGCATTTTATTGGCCCAACAGGTTTTTGCATGTTTTATTAAAGGGGTATACCCAAAAATGAAAACTCTGTCATCATTTACTTCATTCAAATCAGGCACGTGCACTCAACCTGTGTAGTGCACATGCCCTTTTTAGTCTTGGACAGAAAGTGCCCCCTTGACGCGGAACAACCTCGGTCCCGCCCTTCAGTAGGCGCGCGACAACACCGCTCCTGAGTACGCGCGCGACGACACAGCTGATCAGAACGCGCGCGTCAACACCACTCTTCAGTACGCGCGCAACAACACCAACCCCCCCCCCTCTTTCCGCTCTTCAAAAAATTTATCCTGCACATGCCCTTTGGACGGTCTCTGCACGGGCCTGATTCAAATATTTATTTTAGTTATAAACACTTCCAGTGTGGATTATAGTTTTATTACAATAATAAATTACATTTTTAAGTTTTTAATTTGTCAACTCTCCCTATTTTCTATATATGGCTTTTGTGCTTTTATAGAATGGTAGTTGGTAAACATATTCAAGAGCGTGCACAGATGGGGAGCATTTTGATTGAATGTAGTGGTCCACTCTGGCCCAAAATGCCAGGGCTGATTTGTGGTCATGGAGGAGTGGAGAGCATGAGACTCCAGTGACGCTCCAGGGACAGACGAGTCTTCGCTTAGGCCAGCTTCCAGCCTCCACCGCTGAGACTGCAGCTCCGCACAAGACTTTTGGCCAGCGGAGGAATTAAAATGGTCGTGCCGAACTGACTCAGGTTCTCTCAAGGTTTTTTTTCTTCACTCTCCTATTGGTGAAGTTTGTTCCTCTCCGCTGTAGCCACTGGCTTGCATGGTTTGGGATCGGTAGAGCTACGCATCGAGGAATTTGCTCTTCAGTGTTTGGACTCTCAGTAATTATTTAAAACCACACTGAACTGAGCTAAACTGAACTGAACTTAAACACTAAAAACTGAACTACACTGTTGTGATTGTGAGTTTTAAATTGTGAGAACTCCTGTTTAAAGGAAAGGGGGTCTGGATGCAGACCTGGTGCCTAACCCTACCCGTCACAGTGACATCACTCACTCCATTGAGTGCATTGTGTCTGACATTGCATCGCTGAGGGATGCAATCTCAGCTTGCATCATAAAAGCTGCATCCAGATACTATTGGCTGCTTTACACAACTACGAACACACGTTAAACACATGTTTGATAATAATTTTACCAGTGATGCAGCATGGGGAAATTCCAGAGTTTGCAGTAACTGATATGCCAACACAACAGCACTGGTCTGCAGAAGGGCTTCTCTAGAATGTATCTGCTCCACAAGTGCTGCAGCCATGCACCTCTGGCTCTGCACCAAAGTGGGGTCATTTTTACCATCTGATGATGCAATGAACTAAAGTAAACATTCTAAGCACACCGTTGTGATCGTACGCTTCAGGAAACACCCATTGCTGATCACATCAGTGTAAGCATTTGTGTCAAAGGGTTAAAAGTGTTTTTTTTCCTTTTCTTTCGTTATTCAGTATACGCTTATTTCACGCGGTCGCCATTTTAAAGAACCAAAGCGAGCCTGCGGTATGAAGAAACTCAGAAGTATAGGACCAGCACTGTAAACATTGCAGTAACATACTGTGGACTACAAACCTCCAGCGGTTGCAGAGATTTTAAAATGCAGAAATGGTGTAACCATCACTTTAATATCATACAGTACGTTTAATTTAAACAATTAAAAGCAGATTAGGCATCAAACAACATCACAATCTCTGTAAGAGTAATACACTTAAGTGTCCTCCTAGGCTTCACTTCATGGCACCAGTTAAACACGGTGGGTACGTTTTCCTGTTTCAGCCTATGTAACCCGGTGAGCAATAAAACGCTGCAGTCCTCTGTAGCACACCTTCGTGTTGTCTGCAATAGTGTGTCCTGGTAATGAAGTTTTAATACCGTCTATTTCCCGCTAACATTCAAGCACCGCTGAGCGCGTTCATAAACAGCGCTGATTTACCATAGTATTCACCAGAGGTCATCAGTTTACCGCTCTTCACCCAGTGCAAACACAGACACTGGAGCGCGAAGCAGCCGTGAAGATCAGTCGAGTCATCAAGCAGATCGCTCGGCTCGTCTGTGTTTGTACTCGGTAAACAGCGGAGGGTGAACTGATGACCTTCTCGGCCAATCACAGTCATTTCTGTTGAGCATGTGAAAACAATGGCAAATCAGCGCTGTTTTAAGAACGCCATCAACAGTGCCTTGAATGTTAGCAGGAAATTGACGACTTTACTTTTAATTCAGTATCGCGACAAGTCTGATATAGTGAAAGAATCAGTTCATTAACTCGAGTTTGATAAATGGCATCTAAAACGTGTGTTTGGGAAAGAAAACGTAAGCTAACTAGTGCCATTTCTCAAAATGAGCTCTGATATGCCTTTTTATTTTCACCATTCATTCAGAACGGACCTTCACTGATAAGATATTCAGCCAGGTACACACCGTTCCTATGTAACTCCCAACGATACTTCCGGGTTTTTTCCTACCGCAGCCTCGATTTCACTTTTAAAAAAGGCGGCCGCGTGAAATCAGTCTATTCCTCCGCGTACTACTTGTGGTACAATTTGAGACCCACTGCTCTAACAAATTGTTCAGAGGAACATGACTTTAACTAATGGCTAAAAGTAATATCTACTAATTATATTGTTGCGCAGTAGTCACAGGTCTTACCTTTCAGACTTTTTCTGATAGAATGATCAAGAGTCGTAGGATCTTCTCCATCCAAAAGACAGATATTTATGGCCGCAAGTTCCTCCAGCACGTCTGAACACGTGTCTACCTGTTGGAGGATTGGATCTTTCAAAGGAAACACACAGTAAACAAACATCACCATACTGTAGTAGATTGACTCAGATATCAAATAATTTTTTTCGCTGCAAATTCAAAATATTTAAACTAAAACTAAAATTGAGGTGACACTTTATTTTGATGGTTCATTTGAGTAGTAGTAGACTGTTAATGTCTGCTTATTCTGCTCCTTCAACAGACATTTAACTGACTATAAGAAACTGAGCAAGTACATGTCAACTTACACTAACCCTAACCCCAACCTAACAGTCTACTTATAATCTAATGAGAATTAGTTGGCATGTAGATCAAATGTAACTTAAACTCAACAAACGAACAATTAAAATAAAGTGTGACCAAATTGCTTTATTGAAACTATAATATGCTACTGATACGCCACAAAAATGTGTGCAAGCATTATATTGGTTATAGTACTGAAGACACAAAAGATAAACTAAAATGCAAATGAGAAGAAATGCTTTACCTTGCTCCATCTGCTCAATCATTTGATCACTTGCATGTCTAAACAGACCTGTGGAGAAAATCAGATGGAATCAGTACTGAAATAACAAAATGATTCAGAAGTGAATCTTTAAATGCGACGGCACCTTTGATTTTGCTCCAGAGGAATTTCTTATTTTCTTCTCCATCAGCCAGAGCACTGCCACACAGAGCTGTAGAAAACACAGTTAACAGTGTTCAGGGTTTCCCCTACCATTATATTAAGGGGGCTAAAATATATACAGATGCGGTGGAACCTGTTTGCAGTTTATTGTCGCGACTCGTGTGAGTGATGCTCTCTTTGTTGCAAGTGCAGCTATTGTGTTTTCAGTGTTTTGAGCTGCAGTGACGCGAGCGGAGCGATCGCCCCTATGTAGTGTATCATCCAACCTTATGACCTCTCCCGGAAACCCGTGAGTCTCTTGCAGTGATCCCCAAAAATTTGTTAAAGTTGCAGGAAATCATGTCGATGAGAGTGAATGACAAATGAACAGATTGCGAGAGGCACAGGGATCATAGATATATACATTAGATGTCACCTACCCTGTTCTATTAGAAGGAATGTGTCAATAGAGCCGCCATTTTAGTACAGGGTAGCGCTCCTTTAAAATTAATGCGGGACCAAGCAGCAGTGGAGGACTGTGGCCATCCAGAGCCAGAGAATTACACATATACACATATATCTATGACCTCCAGTTTTCCCAGTGGTGAGTATGCAATTTTTTTATTTTTATAAGAAACTTATAGGCATTTTACATCATTTTTCTACATTAATGGATCCGTGATCACACAGGCATTGCACGGGATGCAGACCTGGTGCAATGCAATCTGAGCTGCATCCAAAGCTTTTTAATGCGCTCAACTAACCCTAGCCGTCACAGTGGCATCACTCACTCCATTGTGTCTGACATTGCATCGCTGAGGGATGCAACCTCAGCTTGCATCATAAAGGCTGCATCCAGATACTATTGGCTGCTTTACACAACTACGAACACACATTTAACGCATTTTTTGATAATAATTTTACCAATGATGCAGCATGGGGAAATTCTAAAGTTTGCAGTAACTGATATGCCAACACAACAGCACTGGTCTGCAGAAGGGCTTCTCTAGTGAGTATCTGCTCCACAAGCGCCGCAGCCACGCACCTCTATCTCTGGCTCTGTGCCAAAGTGGGTTGATTTTTAGCATCTGATGATGCAATGAACTAAAGTAAACATTCTAAGCACTCCATTGCGTTTGTACCCATCAGCGAACAGCCGGTGCTGATCACATCAGTGTAATCCTTTGCGTCAAAGGGTTCATTCATTCATTCATTTTCTTGTCGGCTTAGTCCCTTTATTAATCCAGGGTCGCCACAGTGGAATGAAACGCCAACTTATCCAAGTTTTTACACATCAGATGCGCTTCCAGCCACAACCCATCTCTGGGAAACATCCACACACACATTCATACACCACAGACAATTTAGCCTACCCAATTCACCTGTACCGCATGTCTTTGGACTGTGGGGGAAACCGGAGCAACCTTAGGAAACCCACGCGAGCGCAGGGAGAACATGCAAACTCCACATAGAAACACCAACTAAGCTGAGGCTCGAACCCCCTGTCGCTTTAATGAAGACTAATTGTTTAATTATTACATGCAATAGAATAAAGACTATTCAGTGGTATTTTGCATATAAGTATGGAATTTCTATTATTGAAGGCTGTTAATGTTGTTGTTCATTTCATTTTTATCTTAGTTTATTTTGTTTTGCAGGATTTTGTACATTTTATATTTCATTCTGTAGAGAAGATGTTATATCTCTACCTTTCCTCCGGGTGGAGCTGTGTGTTGTGTTAGGGAGATGGGCAGTTGTTTGGCCTCAGTTGTGTTTCCTTGAGGGAAAGGTAAGGAGGATTGATCCAGCTCTACACAAAATCTGTTTAATTTTGTCAATAATATTTGCCATTCATGTAATTTTATGAGATATGTTATAGTTAGGGCATTAACTAATGTGTGGGTGTGCTTATTTTTGATAGATTGACTTATATTTCTGACATTTTAGATGTTTCCATGTGGCAGAGCACATTTTGTGTTGTTTCAGGTTTGATTTGGTTGGTTCATTAAAGGGCCATGAAACCCCCTCGTTTCAGCAGGATGTTTTCACACCTCTACTTTGGAAAAAGTCAGAAAAGGGGCGAGTCAAAATACACTCACACACACACACAGGAGAAAGTGATGGTGTTTAACCTACATGGACATCTGAAGTCGAATTATTTGCCAAATTATTAAATGTTGGACTTTAACTGCAGTTTGGCTCTTTCATTCAGGGAATTCATTCATGCCCCTCACGACAAACGAGATATTTGATTCGAGGAGCTGCACTAAGCGTGTATTTTTCATGCAATGTTTGATACCGCACGGCGAATGAGGGGAAAAAACCTCCGCATTTCCCGGAAACTTAGATGCACACGACAGGTAGCGTCAGAAAGCCGTGTGTGTTATTCCGGTCACTAAATGTGGTGAAAACCCTAGACAAGGTTAAAGTTTGGTTGTAGTGCTAACATGTTTACACTCGGTGCTATAGTTAACTTAGTTCGATACGAACAAACTGAATAAACAAAGAGCACTGGTCGCTCACTTACCAAATCTGTAGAGATAGGACAATCACCAGAAACTAGAGCCGCGTCTTTATGAAGAGAAGACTACAAGCGAATCCGGATCTCAGCGTTTGCAGATGAGAACAGCTCTCAGGTAAACAATAATCCTCCTTAGACACGCAAGTTATTGTTGTCGAGCGTCGCGTACACTGTTAATCCACACGTGAGTCTGAGCTCTCACAGAGAGAAAAAACTATAAAAGCAACACTTCACGCTTGTTTTGCCAACACAACGTGGCGTCTCTGTCGTCTAAACACTATGACAATAATAAATGTTAATGAAGTTGCACAATAGAGCGCGCTGATTGGTTTGAACCAAGCCTTACTCATGCATTAATGCATCACACTCTGAGACGTAATGAGACACACTCTGGCACAGGCGTCCAGTCTGCACGCTGGAATACAACGCTATTATATCATGGCCGTGACGCAGCTTCAAAAATTCGTTTACAACCGGAGGTACGAATTTGCTTGAAATAACGCAAAAACAACCAATTTACACTTTTTAGTGTAATATATGTGTCCTAATAGTGTTTTTAGCAGTGTGGGACACATATACGACAGTCAACAACTCAAAAAATGTGTTTTGGTGTTTCGTGACCCTTTAAATTCTAGGTCATATGTTGTAGTCATATGTTGTAGTTTATCTTTTAAGTGGTTAAGTTAGTTTGTGAACAGCTAGCTTACTAGTTATTTAGCTGCAGCCACATTTACATCATTTATTTGTGATAATTTGTTGCACGTTGTAATCTTTGAAGTTATTTTGTGATGTTCTCAGTTGTGTTTCCTTGTGGGAAAGATGATGCAGTGCCATTGCTGCTGTGCGAGTGACAAAATAAAGAGAGGAGTCCATTAAAGGGAAAGCTGCTCTGTTTGGCTCAACCACAGTCTTGGTGTCCTTCTAATTCATCCTATCACACATACACAACGCAGAGACCTTTTGGGGAAGCAAACCAACAAAGAGGGTTACAATTCCAATCAATATAAAATGAGGAATTCTTTCCAAATAGTGTCATCTTGTAAAGTAATTTTCACATTGCAGTATACAGTTGAAGTCAGAATTATTAGACCCCCTTTGAATTTTCTTCTTTTTAAAATATTTCCCAAATGATGTTTAACAGAGGAAATTTTCACAGTATAATATTTTTCCCTCTGGATAAAGTCTTATTTGTTTTATTTCAGCTAGAATAAAAGCAGTTTTTAATTTATTAAATCCCATTTTTTCGATAGTCTACAGAACAAACCATCCTTATACAATGACTTGCCTAATTACCCTAACCTGCCTAGTTAACCTAATTACCCTAGTTAAGCCTTTAAATGCCACTTTAAGCTGTATAGAAGTGTCTTGAGGAATATCTAGTAAAGTATTATTTACTGTCATCATGGCAAAGATAAAATAAATCAGTTATTAGAGATGAGTTAATAAAACTATTATGTTTAGAAATGTGCTGAAAAAAATCTCTCCATTAAATTAGGGGAAAATAAACAGGGGGGGGGGCTAATAATTCAGGGGGGGGGGCTATTAATTCAGACTTCAACTGTATATCCTAGAAAAGAAAATATCGCAAGTCTGTTTTTGTCCTGTATCATGCAGCCCTGTCTCCTGTATGTGTTACCTTGCAGGAGCAGCATGTCCATTTCAGGCTGAGATGTTGTCTTACGGCCATTTACAAACTGACTGCCGAAGCTGGGAGTTTTCACAAACGCTCCAGTGAGAGAATAGCCTGCTTCACATGGACTAATCTCGAACCAGGGATCTGTAGACTCACAACACAGAATTATAAAGATGTGATGATTACAGCTTAAGGGTAACAACTGTAATCTTTCTATTATACAGACCTCCATCTCCGGACTGTTTACATTCCTTGTCAATCAAAGTGTAGATGGGAAACGGGTTGTTCTTGGACTGTCCCAGCCAATCTGTGAATGTGCGCTCGTCGATCTATAACATATATACATATTTTTGCAGATCTTATGGCAGTCCTGAGGCAATTTCTTGACTCAAATCATAAAAACAAACATCCTAGTAATACTATTTTATCACCTTTGACCAGTAGGTGGCACTGTTATCGAATTTATCAGGGGTCGCCACAGCAGAAAGAACAACCATAACATATTGTTTTCATATTTCAAGAGTTCACTCTTAGCTGATGATTGATTATAAAGCTTGTTTGGCATGCTGTCCGGGGAGAGAGCCCTGAACTAATAAGATCCTCAAGTCCAGGGCTCCCTCCCGATCGCAAGGTGAAAAGGGAGTTTGAGCTTTGGTAGGTCTCGAGAACTTCCCTGCTTATTATATGGGTAATGGCAATTAAGAATTCTGATTAAGAGCTCATCAATGGTGCCAATTTGGTTTGGTCAATTCACCTATGTCATATGTCTTTGGACAGTAGGAGGAGACCGGGGAACCCGGATGAAAACCACGCAAGTACAAGTAGAGCATGTGAACTCTGCACAGAGACATCTACTGGCCAAGTAAGAATTTGAACCAATGACATTCTTGCTGTGAGGCGACAATGCTAACCCTTGGGCCGCTGTGCTGCCCTGCCTTGTTAAGAAAAGGAGGGAGGGGTAGGGGTGGAAGGGGAGAAACCTAAGGTAAGCTCTGATTATTTGTAGTGAGTAAGAAATCATCTGATTGGTGAATTTTGTGTTGCTATTGCAGGACCAGCTGTGATCAATCATACACACGTGCTCCTCTCGAAGTTAAGCTGCTGTCACACTTGACTTTTCTCCTCATAGACTTCCATTCATACGCACGCGAATGCCTCAGACCGGTAACGCAGGGTCATGCGCAGGGCCAGACGGAATCTGCAGACGTTTTTTGCTATTTCTGCGAAGAATTTTGGAATTTTACGGAATTATTTTGGGAGTATCCAGCGGAGTGTCATAACTAAAACCTTAATATATGAAATAAAAAGTAAAAAATTACTGAATAAAAACTGACTACATTCAGATTTACACATTTACTCAAGTAAATAAACAGAATTAATAATGGGCTGAAAATCTGCAGAAATCAGCGGAATTTTGCTCGCGCAGATTCGTGTGGGCCTAGTCATGTGTTAAGTTTCCGAGTTAGCTGTGGTGCAAAGTTCAAGCTTGGTAAACTCTGACCTGCGAAATCGCACCACTTGACTGCGTGAGACCAATCAAGGATCAAAACATGACCTCTCTGGACAGAAATTTAAAACATGGAGCAATCGCTCGCTTTTTTTTATGTCTAATCATCTTGTTTAATCCCGCCCCTTTTCGCATCGCTGTACGACAGAATTTCGCACACACAAACTCTACTGTGACCGCAGCTTTATATCATAAACAAACTTCGCTAATTGGACCAATAATAGACAGAGACTAAAGGTAAATTTAAAGTTTTATGATGGGAAATGTCAGCTTGAACCAATATACTTTTTAGGTGCAGCTTTTCACCGACGTAAAACTACAAGCTTTGAAACAGGTTCAACATTGACTCGGTTTTAATCAAATAAAAGTTTACTAATTAAAACTTGTCATTCAGCCACTACTGCGCATAGGAGGATATGGGTGAAGTATGTTTGTTAAACAGAACAGCGATAGACTGTATAGGAGCCATATTACTTTTCATTTAATTATAATGTTTATTTGTATACTGATTGGTTTGGGTTTCACAGTGACGTTTTATGTTTTGGTCACGTGGGCATAACCGGCACCTGCTCGAACATATAAAGCGCGTGCACAATCACACAGGTGGAGGAGAGAAGGAGAGTGGGGTAGCCGTATTTTTTGGTGACCACAAACAGCAGCGCAAACCAAGCAACGCAAAACTGTATCACAACGGCACACGCAACAATCATCACACCAACGCAATAATCGGCACCATACAAAACAGGTATTCAAAGACACAAATTGCTGTACTGTTTTTTCATGCTTCAAGTTTACATAAAGTTTTCCATATAACATCTTGGGCTCAGTGTCTCTGTCTAAAGCCACCAGCGCGTCACAAATATAAAGGACCCTCACTGCCTCTCGAGCGACCTATAGGAGCCATCAGGAAGTCGCAATAGACTGTTTAGGGATTTATAGAAAAGAAGATGTTAGATTTATTTCTATAATGATCAGGCAACCAATGTAGAGATCTGAGAGGTGAAACAAAGGATTCGTTTTTACATCCCTTGAGGAATCTAGCTGCTGAGTTTTCAAGTACTTGTAAACAATCTTTGAAATACTATAACATTCCTACCATAAAAACACACACAATGCTCACACACGCAGCAGTTGGATAATGATGTTGCTATTTACAGTTTCACTATCAGTAGAGTCATGACTGTTGCTTCAACTCGCTCTCTCTCTTTCTCATGTGTAATTCCTGCATTACTCTGTATGCATGGCTCCTGCCCGTGTTACTACTGTAGTTCTAATATTACATTTAGTAATTTGATATATAGACTAAGGGCTCTATTTTGACGATCCATGCACAAATTGCAAAGTGCAGGGCACAAACGGATTAAGGGCATGTCAGAATCCACTTGCTATTTTAAGGATGGAAAAATTGGCTTTGTGCTATTGCACATGGTCTAACAGGGTTGAGCTTATTCTCTTAATGTGTTATAGGTGTGTTTTGAGAATAAACCAATCAGAGTCTCATCTCCCACTTTCTTTAAGAGCCATGTTGCGCAGCGCCATTGCGCATTTGCTATTTACATGGCAGACCAGCTTTGATATGATCTATTGAACAGTCTATTTAAGTTCCTCAAAATAGCAATGCACCTCAACAAGCCTAGAACGCCTTTAGGCGCACATATGAGGGCAAATGCATTTGCTATTTAAACAGCGTGGCGCAAAACGTCAAAACGACTCTTGCACCAAGCTATACTATGGCAAACTATAGCAAACAACAATTGCGTTATAGTTTAATCAAAAAGGAAACTGAGCATATAGGCACAGAAAAAACCATGCCTGCGTGCCACACGCACCATTCCTGCTTGACGCTGACGTGCTGCTCTGCTTCCAGTTGTGAACATGCACGCCAAAGAAAAGTTGCACTGCTCATGCACCGCCCATGCATTGTGAAACCGACATAGCAGTCTTTTATGTGGAGGCATTCAGTGAGTATTGCAAGTCGACAAAACAGTTTTTTAAATGTAACTTTTATAAAGTTTAAATAATATGATGGTGTTTTTATTTAAAGCATGGCTCCTGATAGATTTTTTTTTTTTTTGTATTGTGGAAAAAGGAGGGATAATGAGTCAGGTCTAAGACAACGCACAACAGATAATTCTATATTCTTATAATAATCTTAATAAATATAAATAATGAATCTTATGAAATAGCATCTTCTGTTTTGTATTCTATAGAATTGTCTATTAAATTTCGTTCTAATAAAATTTTGTACTTGCAAAAGATTTCTTGAATTATCTTCGCATCACTCCAGTTGTGTCTTTACATTGTTTTCCAGTTACATTTAGAATAATTTATGTTATTTATTTAGGATAATAATTGTATAATAACAATAATACCGTTATTTATTTATAATTGTACGTAATTTTTTTTTGTTTTATTAAGAAGAAAAAAATTATATATATACATATATCTTCTTCTTCTTTGGCCTTAGTCCCGTATGGTTGCGGGGTCGGCTCTTTGGAACAAGTCCTCAATTTAGACTTGTCCATATGATAACGACTTTTTTACACATTCTGGCCGGCCTGTCGTCTGTGCCTTTCACCCTCATACACTACGGACAATTAAGCCTACCCAATTCACATGTAGCTTGTCTTTGGACCCTGCTGAAAAATCCAGCCTAGGCCTGTTGGCTGGTTTTAGCTAGTTGACCAGGCTGGTTTTAGAGGGGTTTTGGCCACTTCCAGGCTGGTTTCCAGCCATTTCCAGCCTGGTCTTAGCTGGTCAGGCTGGAAAATGACCAACTAAATACAGCTAAAACCAGCTGGACCAGCCTGGTTTAAGCTGGACATAGCTGGTTTTGGCTGGGCTCCTAGCCTGGCTAGGTTGGTCTAGCCGGTTTTAGCTGGTCATCTCCCAGCCTGACCAGCTAAGACCAGGCTGGACATGGCTGGAAACCAGCCTGGAAATGGCCAAAACCCCTCTAAAACCAGCCTGGTCAACCAGCTAAAACCAGCCAACCAGCTTAGGCTGGTTTAAGCTGAATTTTTCAGCAGGGGACTGTGGGGGGAAACCGGAGCACCCGGAGGAAACCCACGCGAACACAGGGAGAACATGCCAACTCCTCACAGAAATGCCAACTGAGCCGAGGTTCGACCCAGCGACCTTCTTGCTGTAAAGCGACAGCACTACCTACTGCACCACTGCTTCGCCCCATATATATATAATTTTTTTGAGGGAAAGCTGTGAACCAGCAGATATAGATTAGAAAATTGTCTTGCTTGTGCATAAGGTTCCCTGACGTCTCACTTTGGAAATGCAAACTTTTACCAAATCTGCATGAAGATTGTGCATCAAGGAGTGTTTGAATAGTTACCAACCTCTTTCACATATGTTGTGACGACCATCGTTGCCCACACATCAGTCAAGCTGAAGTACTCTTTCTCTCTGTAATATTTCTTCAGTTTGGCATACGCATCTGACCAGCTGACTGGTGGACCGCTGATTCTCCTGACGATTTTCTCTTTCACAGCCTGTAGTTTAGTGGACCAGTCTGGTTCCTGATATAAGGAGGCCATGCACCTTCAGAAGAATAACACACTGCTCTCATTTCTGACGTGCAACACAATTCAATCTTTATCTGTGTGTGTGTGTGTGTGTCTGTGTGTGTGTGTGTGTGTGTGTTTGTTTGTTTGTTTGTTTGTTTGTTTGTTTGTTTGTTTGTTTGTTTGTTTGTTACCAGGTGGATCCAGAAACTCCGCTCAGATAAAGAAGACAGCTCAGAAGACCTGTTTTATCAAGCTGATCCAGGGATCCCAGCAAACCCACCATGGCTCTTTGTCCTCCTCCAGAACCCAGTAATGCAATGTTTGGAACTTTATCCTGCATGTACACACACACACATTCATTAACTACATCTGAATTTTTTTTTTTTTCAGTTCTTGAAGAAAAATCAAGAAATATGACATGTTTGACCTAGTCTTGCTTTTGCATAAATATACTGAATGTAAAAATAATGGTCAATTTCCCGCTAATATTTGAACACTGTTGAGCACTTTCTTAAACACAGATGTTTGGCCATTAAAGGTAATCACTTCACCACTATTCACCAAGCGCAAATACAGACATACATACACTGAAGTGTTTGAAAGCCATGGCTGTCAGCGGATTGCTCATATGTCTGATGATTGACGGATCAGCTGACAGACATGGCTTAATGGATGTTTTTAAAATTCCAGTATTGATTGGTATCAAAGTCAACACTTTCGATGTTAGACTAACCTGACTACAGTTTATACCAAGTGTTTTCAGGCTTGACCAGATTTCACTTCTCCTTTTTTTCACACACGCCGCCTCCTTCATATTCAGAGAGTGTGCGATTCGCACTTCACTGCACAAAAAGACATCATTGGGCTGAATTTTACATCATAGATACTGTATGTATTGAAGCCATATTGAAGAGTACTAAGTTTTTCTTCAATAGTTGTTCACAGAATTATATATTTTTTACTGTGTGAATCTGAACAGATCTCTGCTTACCTTTCCTGTACATTAGATGCACTCATCTGCAAAAGGATAGTCAACAAGAAATGCTAAAGTATTTACAAAAAATAACAGTACAACATCAGTCACCTCTAGAGCCACTGTTTTTGGCATTAATACTATTTACTCAAGTAGTGTATTAGAAAAACAAGAAAGCCAACTGTTGTGTCATGTGCGCTGTTTTAGTTAATTATTGGAAAGAGTGTGTTCAAAACAATAACAGTGTGAACTTTTATTCAATTAGAGAGAAAAAAATTCTAATAATAAACTGCAGTCATCAATGGTTCTTTATTAAGGAGGAAGGTCAACAATGTGTCGCACCATGAGAAATCCAATATGGCACTATATGGAAATTACGTATCTGATATATAAGGATTTCACAAATATAAAATATGTCAAATATGCGCTTGATTTACATTTTTTTTAACCTTCTTGAGCCTACGCTACAAATACAACAATGTATATATGTACATACCCAGCAGGCACACATCATAAGACGTTAATATTGGGTTAGATTTATGTCATGATATCAGGTGACCAAAATTCAATCTCTAGTCAACGTCTAAGAACAACATTATTTTGACATCCAATAACAACATGAAATATATGTGGTTGTTTTTAGGTTGTGTTGGAAAGTGACCAAAATCCAACGTCTTATTGATAAGTCCCACACGAAGTCAAGGTGTAACATAAGTAGACATTGAAATTTAGTTGATTTTAGGTTAGACGTTGGACATTGACATCGGCCTGACATTGGTTTCTGACGTCAACCCGATTTTCATTTCCAAACCAAATCCAACGTCCCAACGATGTTGGGGTATGTCGGGGTACAATGTCAATATGACATCATGATGACCTCATGTGCCTGCAGGGTACTATACAGTATGTACATATATGCTAAAATAGTATACAGTTGAAGTCAGAATTATTAGTCCCCCTGAATTATTAGCCCCCTTTAATTTTTTTTCCCACAATTTCTGTTTAATGGAGAGATTTTTTCAACATTTCTAAACATAATAGTTTTAATAACTCATTTCTAACAACTGCTTTATTTTATGTTTGTCATGATGACAGTAAATAATATTTGACTAGATATTTTAACAGCTTAAAGTGACATTTAAAGGCTTAACTAGGTTAATTAGGTTAACTAGGAAGGTTAGGGTAATTAGGCAAGTTATTGCTTAATGATGGTTTGTTCTGTAGATTATTGAAAAAAAATATAGCTTAAAGGGGCTAATAATTTTGTCCCTAAAATGTTTTTTTTTTAATTAAAAACTGATTTTATTTTAGCAATAATAAAACAAATAAGTGTTTCTCCAGAAGGAAAAATATTATCTGACATACTGTGAAAATTTCCTTGATCTGTTAAACATCATTTGGGAAATATTTAAAAAAGAAACAACTGTGTGTGTGTGTGTGTGTGTGTGTGTGTGTGTGTGTGTGTGTGTGTGTGTGTGTGTGTG